GTTAATATTTCTAAGGACATTTTGGGACTGTGCACATGCCTGCATGTGCAGACAGACAACAGACCTTGACAGTGACCCTAACAGCTTTCAGAAAGTTGTTATTAACAATTTTGTAGGTGAAAGTGGCAAGTAACAGCAACCTGGCCTCTCAGATCAGGGAAGTAGGAGTCAAGGCACAATGAAGCAGAAGAAAAGTAAATTGTGGTCAGGAAGTAAAGTACTGAATTTTAAGATTGCAGAAGTGGCTGATGATGAAGCTTCAGCTATGACTAAGAGAGTGAGTGGAAGCTACAGCCAACAAGGTAGAGGCTCATTTCCACTCCATGTCACGTCAACCAATAAGATGGAGAGTAAAGAAAACCTTCGGGAAAGAAAATCCTCCAGACCTCAAGTGTTTAAGATAAGGAGTTTCAGTTAATCATCCTTGCTACCTCTAGTTTCTAACAGAGATGACTAATAATAATAATAATAATAACAATAGTTTGGCCATCACCATGTATCAGTGTTGTCCCAAGCACTTTGCATACATTCTAACATTCTAACACTCACAACTTGTGTGGTGGTAGGTACCATTGTGCTCATTTCACAGATAACAAAACTGAGATGGGGCTGCGTAACCTGCCTGACCTCCTGCCTGGGGTTGTAAGTGCTGGAGAGATGTGGACAGAGTTGGGGTGAGAGAATATTTTATGGATGGTATCAGCAAAAGAAAGTGAACAGAGTGCAGGAAGAAGCCTGCCTGTCAATGAGTGCTGCACATCAGCAGATGCCAGGCTTGGTGTGGGGGCCTGGCAGAGCCTGAAATGATGCACTGGAGCCACACTGAAGAGAGTCCTAAACAGCAGCACTCAGAGTTTGAACCCAGTTTGGGAGAGAGGGGAGAGAAGGAAAATTAGCTATTCACAGTATCTTGAGATGATTAACTTTTGGATGTGAACAAATTGAGGCTGGAGTGAAAGAACAAAAGTCAACGTTCTTTTGGTCCTGATTACATGTATGAGCCAGGTGGGGGCAGTCGAAGGTTAAAGGAAGAGACAGGTTTGATATATGTTGCAAAAGTCAAATGCAAAGTTTTGGTAACTGGTTGGATGCAAAGGGTGAGGGAGAAGGAAGAATCTAAATTGAATCCAAGTTTTCAATGTGAGTGACTGAATGAACTATTAGCAGAAATTCAAGAGAGGTACTTTAGGGTGTGGGCAGCATGAATGGCTGGGCTTTCAAAATGTGTAATTTGTTGTGTGAGCAGGCCATTAGGTGGAAGAACACAGCAGGAAGTAGGTAACAAAGCTGGAACTTTTAGAAGAGTCTGGGCTAGAAGTGAAGATTTTGGTATCATTTGAATGATGGCACTGTGTTGAACTCAGGGAGTGAATGAAAAGGTGGGAAAAGGCAGAGAATAGAGATCCTTGAAAAACATTTAAATCTGAAACAAGAAGGAAGATGAGGAGCCAGCAAAGGAGATAGAGAGTGTTAACAAGGTTGGGAAAACCTTGAAGTGTGTTCCCAACCTTCTTGGAAGACAAGGGAATGGAAGGTTCCAGAAAAGAGCCAATCTAGCAAACCCTCAGAGAAACCAGGAAGAAGAAAGCCATTTGGAGTTGTTGATTCGAAGGTTCTAAGGAGCAAAAGTAGCAGTGGAAGGATAGGAAGTGGCCTTGGGTGGGAAAAAGGGAGTAGATTATAGGAGACCAAGCAATGGGACTGGATTGCAAGAATTTGACAGCAAGGAAGAGAAGACAGGGTAAGAGAAGGAAAAGGAAGACTTGAAAGGGTAAGGTGAGTAGGGAAAATGCTCGGTTTTGTTCTTCAGGTAAAGAGTACCACTTACATCTATTTTAGAGAGAGAGAAAGGAGCCATGGAGAGTGGTGAGTGAAGATGCATAGGTACTAGTGGGCAGTAGCAGCAAAAATACTTTCTATGGCAGAAATCACAGCAGGAAGAGGTCCTAACCTTCTAACCCTATATAAAACAAAACAGAAGTCGAGGAGCTGCTCTCTCTAATGACTCCCACATAGCCATTCTCTTATAAAAGAAAGGAAGGACCAATGGAACAGGGTTTTTTTCTTTTCCTCTTCTGGAGGAGTGCCTAAATTTAATCCACACATCCCCGGCAGAGAAAAAAGGAGCCCATTGCCATAGACATTCCTTAAAGAGTGAGATAACTTCTGTCGGGTGTAGGGAGAAGGTGAAACTTTGATAATGAACTTGGGGTATGAAATATTAGGACTTTTTAAATCAGTACTATTTGCAGGTTGCATATCTGGTAAGTATTCTGTGTGCAGGATAGAGGAGGGCATTTTATCCTGTTAAAAAGAATGCTTAAAGTACCAATGTTATTTCCCTCACTATATATGAAGCAAAAGCTACCTGGGGAAAAAATAAGTAGAAAGGCAAAAACATTGCTAGTAGTTAGAGTGAAGGCTGGTGTTGACTGCTGTCAGCCTAGGTAGGGCAACCACTGTAAAGCATTCAGCAAACAATCTGCTCCATTGTCCTGTCCTTTCCTGCCAAGGGGAAGGAGGGGGCATCTCTGGACACAGGATGTCAGAGAGGAAGGCAGGCAGTGGGAAAGGGAGCAAAGAGATAAAGAGAGACTGTTCCCAGGGAATGTGCCGGCCCTCCCTCTTCTTGGGATGGGCTGAGTACCACGTGTGTCCCTGTGTACGCAGAAATGGTCCCTGGGGCCCCATCACTGTCACATCGCTGCACGGCCCTCAGACTTGGAGAAAAGCATTAGAGGTTGTTAGCACATCTCTCTCTGGAGATGAGACTGGGCTCAGCAGCAAGAAGACAATCCCAGGGGGGATTTGCCTTTCCTGCCTTGCTTAGATAGTGGCTGTTCCCTGATACCCAGGAAAGAATGAAGTTCAATGTGTGCCTCGCACTGTACTGCACACTCAATCCTGAACAGCTGGGCTGCTAATATGAGTGAAAGAGAAGAGAGAACTGGCTTTTCACCATCTATATATAATGTATTCATAATAAATCTCTCAATGAGGAGGTATAAAGATTTCCTATTTCTGTACAGCCAAAGGAAGCAGACCATTAGGCAAGTATCCAATGAGTCTCATTAACAGAAACAACCAATATGGAAAATCCAGGGAGACTTGCTCCACATTTCTAGTAGTAACAGCAATTTTTATTTTACCTGAAATATGCTAGTAATTTTCTTGCTTGCAAATTGGTTTTGCCTAATGATTGGTAAATATCTTTCTTCTTAATAGTTACTGAATATTCTCCATGTTCTAGAGACTACATAAAAATAAAGCACTGCTTGTCATCTTTATTTTCCTTTTCCACTTTATTTCTGAGAAGATAAAATAGTAAAGCCATCCTAAAATGACTTATTTGCAAGGAAATGGGAATGATAAAGCATAAAACAGTATAGTTCTGTAAAGTTCTATAGTGTGCAATGCACAGTCTAAGATTTAGTAACTCAGACAACTGGTGAAACAATGAACAAGTATGAATTAAGCATTTAAATTCCAACATGCATGGTAGTGGTTGGGAACACTGCTAGCAGTGTCAGAACAAGGGCATTTTCCTCCTTGATTTTGCTTGCAAAGGACAGCCACCTGTGTGGAGTCCCCAGTATCAGAGCCAGTCACAGAGCTAACCTAATAATGATGGCTGACCCTGGAAGGAAACCAGTGACAAACTGAAAGGTACTTGTTAAAGATAATGTTCACCTTAGAAATATTTTCTCATTATAGTTAGAACTGTGTTTATCATGGTCTCTGATACTTTATAACAATAAGATCATCTCAGGGTCTAGGAGGAAGCCTACCCTCCTATAGTTTAAGGCAGAGGAAGGAAACATGCATTTTGATTATTTAATAGCAGATTCAACACATTAACAGATGAATTGAAAAAAAGACCATATAACTAACCTGTGTTGAACTCTTCAGGATGTTTATCTGATCTGTCAAGAAATCATTCCTATGGACTCACTTTTTTTATTCAATAAAGTTTTATTTTTCATAATGTGCAACTGGAGGGACCTGTTCATGCGTCTTCGCCAGCAGCCACAGCATCCCCACACTCAGTGTTTCTGGTGTAAATTACTTGAACTCTGTGCTTTGAAACGAGTTGAATAACAGGCCCTTCACTAAGGAGCTCTTGAAGGGCCACCCTGGCCAAGGAACCACAATCCTTACAAGCTCATAGTTGGGAACTTCCTTACAGAGTTTGTCATATGTTACTTTGCCAGAGAAGACTAGGTTATTAAGCTTTTCCCGAACTTTGCTTTTGAACCGTATCTTCTTTTTGGCTTGCCCCCAGATTTATTCACTGGGTCTTTGTCTTTCTTGGCCACCTTTCTGGCATCCTTCTTCTTGTCATCCTTGGGCGGCACAGTGAACTTGGAGAGCAGCTGCTACCAGTGCTACCTTGACATGATGTGCCCCATGGACTCACTCTTACAACAGCAAAATAGTATTCACAGAAGCATAAAAATAAGTCAGGGTTTTGCTTTCAAATTCTGCCTTTCCTAGAATTTAGGTGCCATCCCAGCATTATTGAGGTTACACAGGGTTTTCATACCCTTTGTTCCAATGACGGTTCTGTGAGGGATACTCAAGCAACCTCCAGTTTGTCTCTATTATGGTTATTCTTCAGCAAACCTTTGTTTTTGCAAAAATAGTTTATTTCCTCAAAGTAGCTTTCCTGAAATGAAATTAGATGAAGTAGCATGAATATTTTCAAGCTCCTTTTTCCAAGTGTATTTCTAAATAGCTTTCCAAAAGGGTATTTATTAAGTTAACTTACACTAGCAATATATAAGGATTATAGTTTTACCCCAGGCTTAACAAGCTGCTAAAAAGATGCCATTACTTTTATTTGTGGTTTTCCATTCCTAGCAAGCTTTAAAAATTCTGCAAATATTTGTTTACAATTCTTTGGTGTGTATTTGGCTCCTAATTTTTGTTTTGCTGTCAGTTGGCTTATTTTTGCCAGGTCCAATCTCAACTGCTTTACTTACCTTTATTCCTTTGTATAGGCTCCCATGATTCATTCAGCTACTGGGTGGACGAGAAGTCCCCTGTGGGACCTGACCAAACCCCGGCTATCATACGCCTCGCCAGGATCTCTTTGGTGAAGAAACTAATGAAGAAATGGTCTGTGACTCAGAACCTGACCTTCCGAGAACAGCTAGAGGCTGGGATCCGCTACTTCGACCTGCGTGTATCCTCCAAGCCAGGGGATGCTGACCAGGAAATCTACTTTATCCATGGGCTTTTTGGCATCAAGGTCTGGGATGGACTGATGGAGATTGACACGTTTCTTACACAGCACCCCAGAGAGATTGTCTTCCTGGATTTCAACCACTTCTACGCCATGGATGAGGCCCACCACAAACATCTGGTTCACCGGATCCAGGATGCCTTTGGAAACAAGCTCTGCTTGGCCTGCAGTGTGGAGACTCTGACCCTGCAGATCCTGTGGGAGAAGAAGTGCCAGGTAGGATGAAACCGAGATGAGCTTCCAAGGGCAAGAACAGAACTATTTCTGTCTTTTCTATATCGCCAGCTATCAGACAGCTCTATCCAGGGCCCCTCAGGCTAGCAGCATAGTTTGTTTTTGTAATATTTAATATATTTATACAGGTTCTTGGGCTCTAGGATAGTTCCAAGGGCTCCCCTGGATGCCTTTAAACTGGGGTGAACACCTGCAAAGTATTTAAAACGTTTTTGGCAATGTATTTGGCATCTAAATTGACTTTGAGTGGCTTGGCCAGAACCAACCCAAGGCAAAGTTGTGAATTTGGACCAGTTGGTTATACCATTTTACTCCCTCCCATAAAATCCCATTTTCACCCTCCTGCTTTCCCTCAGGGACAGACTGTTTAATCTTGCCTTCAACTCAATGTCAAATAATCCCCGACAAAGCATTGCTTGCTAAGTAAAAGCATTAGCTGACAAAGGCATGTGAAGTTATCATTTCAGGTATGTTAATATTTTAAAAGGCCATCTTCACAGAATTTGGGTCATAGTTGGAGAAAGTTCAGGAAGGAAGAACCCATGAGAGGGATCCAGGGTGGGAGACTAACCCCCAGGTTGCTTATGCTGAGAGGAGCCCCTAAACCTAGACCCAGGAGGGACCTACTCAAGAAGAGGAATGTGGGCCTCGGGTATATTCTGCTCTCATCCCACAGGGTGGTACACAGTGGGAGAGAGGAGCTCCAGAAAATGTCAGCTTCCAATTTAGACTCTATTTAAAAAAAGAAAGAAAAAGAAAACATGTTTCATTCATAGTTGCTCACTTGCTTATAGATGCATTAACCAAAGCATCTTCAAGAGGCAGTTATTTTTGAACTTAGAGAAGAGCTTTTAATTAGAAGATTAATCCTTCTAATTAAAGATTATTCACTTGCAAATACTTTTTGAACACCAAGTATGTGCTAAGTAAGTACCATTCTAAGCATTTGGAATAAATTAGTAAATAAAACAAAGATCCTTGACCTAATGGAGCTTTCGTTCATGCGGAGGGAGACAGCTCCTACATAATAAACATAACATAAACATATAATGACAGAAGGTATTAAGAGCCATGAAAAAGAGAGTCAAGCATGGTGAGGGGGAGCCAGACTTCTGTGGGTTAGAGAGTTGGTCACAATTTTAAATAGGTTGATTGATTAAGCACAGCCCTCGGTGCAAGATGACATTCGAAGGAGTTACTCACGTGGGTATTGGAGAAGAGCTTTCCCAGCGAGGAGCAAGGCAGTGGGGAAGCCTTAGCGAGAGTGTGCCTGACATCTCTGAGGAAAAGCAGGGGGCAGGGGCTGGAGAACAGAGCAGCTGAGGAGGGCAGAGAGAGAATGGGTGATTGTGTGGGCCCTGAGGCACTGCAAGGACTTGGCTTTCACTCCAGATGAGGAGGGTTCCGAGCACAGGGTGCTGGGACCTGACTTAGGTTGTAAGGCTGTCCTTCTGGTTACCAGGAAGACACCTGGTATAGGCAGAGTGGGGCAAGTAGGGAAACCAGGGAGGAGACTACTGGGGGAAGAGGTCAGACTGTGAATCTGTCTGAAAGGAGAGCCAACAGGGTTGCCTAATGGTCGGGGCTAAGGGTGAGAAAGGAAGTGAGGATTCAGGCTAACTCCCAGGTTTGGCCTGAATAATTAGAAATACCAGCTTGCTTTGCACACTCAGTGATAGTGCTTAAGGCCAGAGACTCCAGACACTAATGAGTCAACTCTTAGTATCTGTTAAAATTTATCTAAGCTATTTCTCACAAACAAAGTTTGTAAGTGATGGTTTGCCAAATACTTATCACACCCCTTCCTCCAAACATGAGTTTATATACATCTAGACTCACAGGTCTCATGTGGAGAGATTTTTTCCCCCAATGGAGTCTCTCTCTTACAATACTAAACAATTATAATAGCAACAACAATAATAGCTAACATTGATCGAGCCTTTACAATGTGCCCAGTATAAGGATTAACTCATTTAATCCTTTCAACCACACTATGAGATAGGTATTTTGTCATTATTCTCTCTTTACGGATGAGCAGACTGAGGCATGGGGAGGTTGAGCAAGCTGCCCAGGAGAGCACCATTAGTGAGACAGAAGAGCCAGGATGTGACTCCAGGCTGCTGGGCTCTCAGTGTTCCCACAGCTCCTCGTGCTCTGAGGGCTGTTCACACGCTGTGGTGATTTCCAAAACTAGTGTCATAGATCATGCTAATGGAAACACTCTATTTTTCATGAGCCCCTCCTATCAGGGGGTCTAGAGGGCTATCAGAACAGGAGAAAGGAGGGAGATCAGCAAGAGGGCTTCAGAATCCTGGGATTCAGGCATGGTTAAATTTGAGTGCAGCTAAGTTTATGAACAGGTATCTGTTATAAATATAGCTTTATAATTGCATCCACAGGCAATATTCAGGATGGGCTGCGATACTGCATACTGAATTGCTTAGAAATCTGTGGGAGTAACCAGGTGTCTTCAGAAATGATGGATAGTGTGGACTGTGACTTTCTCACAGCACAGTGATGATCTAGCATAGCTTTTAAGTATGGGCTAATCTGTATCATCCAACTATAAATAAGTCTGAAATTATAAAGAAAGACGCTGTGACAACATATCAGAAAAAGGGAGAATGTCATCAATTTGAATTCTAGGCTCTCCCTGTTCTCCTTCCTTTCCCAAAGTTTTGCCTGGCAGGTCTCTTCTTAAAAACAGAACAAAGAGGTAGCAGAGTCCTTAGCCATCTCCCCGCACTGGGGCAGGACCAGACTGGCGGCTAAACTTTAAATACTCATTATGTAATGAGATGCCTTGCATGTGCATGTAAGCCCCTGAGCATTTTATTAGTACAATTTAATAGCAAGAAGTATATCACCATCCAGTTACATTTCCTTTACTTAACATGCAGTTACATCACAGCTCACAGATATGTATTTGCATATTAGTGGCTATGGATTTTCAGGGTACAATGAATTAGAAAATTTAATCTACAAATTGGCAGTATTTAGAATCTTACTGAGAAGGTAAGAATACATAACACTAGTAAAATACAAAACAACCGATACACAGTTGCAAAATAAAGCTGCCTCAAGTGTACTATATGAAGAAAGGTTTTTTTTAAATCAATCAGTTGAAAAATAGTACATAGTCTAAATCTATATCCCAGGGGTCTCCAGGAAAAGACTGATCTGAATAAGAGGAAGTCAGTGAAGAAATATTTCTCAAAGGAAATGAGATTTTAAATCAGAATCTCAGAGAAAAACTGAACATAAATTGCTAAGCTGGAAGGGAAGATATCTCAGAGAAAAACACAGCAGAGTGAGGTGGGGAAGAAAATGCAGAGCACAGGCCCTGGGCAAGGGGTACTGGCCCTAGAATTCTGCAGAATGAGGGTTGGTTTGCTAGGCCACCCTCCTACTGTAAATAGACATTCTCCCTGGAACCTTTAGGATCAGATTCCTCAAGAAGGCTCTTGAGGAAAGGCATAAAATTTCTTTTGCATAATTTGTACTTTTTGCATATTTTCCAAGGCTAAGTAAAGGGGAGCACTGTCCTCTCCTGCCCTAACACTCTCCTGCCCTGACACTGCCCAGCAGGCAGCTCGGGCAGCGGGTGGACAGCACCTTCCAAGGATCACACAGCCCCCTGCCTCTCCCACAGTCCAGTTCACAGTCCAGCTTTCCTCACTCACAGACCCTGGAGATGCCAGCCTTCCCAACCAACCAATTACATTGCCAGCAGGAAATCCTCCTCAATCTCCTGGACAATCTGCTTACAAGGAGCCTGTGATTAACCTCATTAACACACATGCTTACTGCAGACATCATTAAGAGTCAGTCAGACATAACTCAAAACCATTAAAAACAAGAACAACTCTTAGCCTGTTCAGTGCTTCACTCCTGGCACTCCCCGCCTCTAGGCCTTCAGGAGCAGTTAGTCAGGCACCTTAGTTAGGAGCTAAACAGACACTGGAAACAAAACACACATCCAGAGTCCACCTTGGGTGCCTAGAGACCACGCTCCCCAGCCAGCCCTCCACAGACTGCAGTCCAGGGAGTGTAAATAGCACAGACATTCCTCCAGGTAGAGATCACTGGTGCCCCAAGGGGAAAACATACATTACTTCTAGAAACCTAAGCAGCAGGACTCGAATTGGAACAACCAAAATAGCAATTCCCTGTCCCTTGGCTGCCTCTCAGAAACTAATTAATGCTATGGATGTGGCTTGCTAATTATTTTCAAAATCACCAGCATCCTGAAAGGTCCCGTGGGAGACTCATCGCCTCCTGGAAGCCCTCCCGGCCTTGAGTGTGCTCCTGCTCTCCCCTGGGAAGGACCATTTCATTCACAGTCAGCATGCACCATTGGAAATCTGTGCTCATTCCCACTGCAAGAGCTCAGTATCAATTCTGTGAGCATCTGAGTCATAACTTATAGCCTCAGGGATTCTCCACTTGGGTTCTGAAGAGTCTATGAAGTCTATGAATTTTGATGGGGAAAAACTACATATTTATCCCCACTAGCCTTTAACCGAAAATGAGGTGCTCATGGATTATGAGTGCAGGCAGTCATGAGGTATTGGCCCCCCACTTGTGACTCATCCCTATAGAAATCACATATATTTCCATATCATGGCAGTTACTGCACATATCTCAAAATATCATTTGTACTTATTAATTCAAAATTATAGGCCTTATATTTACTACAAAATACTTTTATTTAATGTATTTATTAAGAAACACATTCCTGGCTGGCATAGCTCAGTGGATTGAGCGCGGGCTGCGAACCAAAGCATTGCAGGTTCAATTCTCAGTCAGGGCACATGCCTGGGTTGCAGGCCATGGCCCCCAGCAACCGCACATTGATGTTTCTCTCTGTCTCTTTCTCCCTCCCTTCCCTCTCTAAAAATAAATAAATAAAATCTTTAAAAAAAAGAAACACATTAATTTATTACAAATTCAATTAATAGATTGATAGCTCTATTTCCTTCACATTGATTTCCTTTGTAATCCTGTCTGTTTTATCTTAGGCATTCATTTAAATCATAGTCTGAGCAAGGATTCAGGATTTTACCATATTTCAAAATGCTGACAGAAATAAAGTTAAGAATCTTCAATTCAGACATATGCAAGTGCTTTAATCCTTGCTTACTGATTTTTCTAAAAATAGATGTAATAATTTGAATTTTCATGTGTTTATATTTGTTTGCCTTTCCTCCTAGCAATCAGCATAAAAAAGCCAAGGAGCTGATATTCAGTTTGTTCATGAATTGCTCTCTTTTTTCTGTTTTGAATGTTTCAGGTTCTTATTTTCTACCACTGCCCCTTCTACAAGCAATACCCCTTCCTGTGGCCCGGAAAGAAGATCCCAGCACCCTGGGCAAACACCACAAGTGTGCACAAACTCATCCTCTTCTTGGAGACCACTCTGAGTGAGCGAGCCCCACGCGGAGCCTTCCATGTCTCTCAAGCGATTCTCACCCCCAGAGCGAAGACCATCGCCCGAGGCCTGGTTGGTGGCCTTAAGAACACTCTGGTTCACAGGTGAGAATTTACTTCCATCCCCAAAATAAAGTTGTTGTTTTTTTAATTTTCTTGAGTCTCTTCAGAATAAACAGCAGTAAAACCATATAGTATGAAGATTTAAAATACAGTAACACAAACTGCCTTATATTTGAAAAAGCTGTGTGTTTGAAGTAGCTTCAGTAACTGTGGCCAAAGGCTCTCTAAATACTTCATGAAAATGTACACATTAAACCATAAATACTCTCCATATTTTGATCCTGAAGCACAGCACTTTTAGCTAACACCAGTCTGTTCACTTCTGGCACAGGGTGCATCCTGCTCTTGCCCCTTCCTCCTATCCTCATAGCTGTCCCAAGCACGCATTCCCTTAAGAAGCATCAAATGTGACCACGTGCTAGGCGCTGGGGATTCAGAGATAACCCTTCAAAGATTTGGGATGTCCTCCCTTCCACAGTGACAATGAGTCCCAAGAATTAGCTTAGGATGCCATACACTGTGCCATAGCTTTAAATACTTCCCCAGAGCAAAGCTGACTCTGACTGTACAATTAGGCAAGAGCAGCTCCAGAAACTTTGTACTGGATGGTGTTCTTTGTGCTGGACAGCAATAGATGATAAGTGTTGTCAAGGAAAAGGATGCCTCATTTATACGTGCATGTATGTGTGTATATAATGTCTGTGTCTGTGTACATGTGTGTGTATAAAGGGACTGTTATAAATACATTTGGACATAGGGCACTCTGTGCAGCCCAAGCTGAGGAAGCTAACATGCTCCGGGAGCAAGGGAAATTTGCAAGCCTCACTTCAGTTCTTGAGTTCCAGCTGAGGAGCACCAGAACTCAGACAGTGAAAGCTGCACCGAAAGGCACGTCCCTGTCTGTGCATATCTGGCTCTGAGTTTGAGCAGCGTGACTTCGGATAGCCGGGGCTCCCCAGCAAGAGTGTGGATAGCAAGGAATGCATGAACTTTTCTTTCTAGGTGACAGCTCCTGATGACATGGCCATAAGCAAACCCTTTTTGTGTGGCTCTACTAAGACTTGACTGAATTATTTGTGCTGAACTTGAAAAGGATCATATTCATAACCCAGTGATATGTCTCTGAGAGTTCCAGAATTATGAACTTTCATTTTCTATAATGTATGTTCAAAGGGCATATCCGTGCTCTTTTCCTCCTGCCTTCGGTAAATTGGTAGATTAACAGTATTTATTTATTCATTCATTCATTCATTCAACATAGACTGAATACCTAGGAGCAGCTGGGTCCATGGATACCCAGTGAATAACACAGTCTCTGCTCTCGTGGAACTTAGAGTCTATCAGGAAAAATAAACATACATATTACTAAAAACAGTGTGAAAATCACTATTACAAAAGTCTGTCCAGATAACCATTCTAATAAAGGAGAGGGCATATTTTAAAATAAGGATAAGTTATATTTACATATTGTGTTTTGAATATATAGTACCCTCTTGCAGATGATTTCATTTCACTCTTAAATTAAGTCAGCTGCCAGGAGGGTACATTGTCTAGGGCAGCAGTCACCAACCTTTTTGGCCCCAGGGACCGGTTTCATGGAAGGCCATTTTTCCGTGGACCAGGGTTGGGGGGAATGGCTTCAGGATAATTCAAGTGCATTACATTCAAGCTCACCTCCTGCTGTGCAGCCTGGTTCCTAACAGGCCTGAACTGGTACTGGTCTGTGGCCTGGAGGCTGGGGACTCCTGGTCTAGAACACATTATTGTCTCCATTCCAGATGGGGCTCAGTAAGGTTCAGTGACCCAGACCTACGTAGCTGGTAAGAGTCAATAATACGTCTCAACTCTGGACTTCTGATTGCTGGACTGTTGCCCTTTTTAGTGTTCAGCAATGACTTGATATAGACATTTCAGAGTCTTGTTCTTTTCTGCTCCACTGGCCTGCAATTGTGTTATTAGCACCTAAATCTGGTCAGATCTTACTGATTACAACTGTGAACCCACAAAGTCTCAATGCTTTCCATCCATGTAAATTCCAAGAGCTGTGATCTGGCTGCAGATGAAGCACCAGGCTCTGGGACTTAGTGGTGATGATGGTGGTCTGCGCCCAAAGCCAGGGCGTCCTGGCATGCTGGAGCCCTCGCCCAGTGGCAGCTGGGAAGTAGATGTGTCCAGGACTGAAAGACACATGGGCATCTCCACTCCCTCTGGTCACAAGAAGGTTACAGGTATGCATCCTGCACTCCCAGGCCTCCACATCAGCTGAAGGGAGAAATTCAGCTATGGTCAAGACTTCATTCCCTAACGCCAGCACTACTTTTCATTTCCTCTGGGCTGTTGAACAAGCATAGGAAAGAAGCAGTTGTCACAGGGCCTTCCCCAGAGTGTCAACACCCGGTAGGTCTGTCCTACCTGAGGCACATAGGGGCACTGTCAAACTGGCTTTGGGCACTGGTTATGAGCTTAACCAAGAGGAAAAAAACAAGATACATTTTCCTAAAATGTGGAGGGGGTTTTCTCAGCAGAGAGTTCACCCCACCTCACCCCAACTCAAGTGAATTTCAGACCTGAGATCTTATTTTATTGGTTCATTACTCTAAAAGGAATATGAATAGAATTCTGACTGAATTTCTATGATCATTTTCCCTAGAGTATTGGAAACTGCACTCCTACTAAAATCAAATGAAAGGAAGTTTTGCCCAAGCCTGAGCACAGAGCAGCCATGGGACTGTAGAAGGGGACACAAACTGAAATCAGAGATTGAGATGTAGCCTGACTAGGTCCTTGCATGGCTAGGGACTAGTTCCCTGAAAATTATGTTCCCTGAAAATTCATATGCTGAAGCCCTAACCCTCAGTAGCTACTGTGTGACTGTATTTAGAGAGAGACCTTTAAAGAGGTGATGAAGTTAAAATGTGGACAGTTAGGGTGAGACCTAATGCAATCTGATTGGTGCTCTTACAAGAAGAGGACATTTGGGTACTCAGAGAGACATCAGGGATGTGTGTGCACAGAGAAGACCATGTGAGGAGACAGCAGGAAGGTGGCCGTATACATGGCCAGGAGGGAGGCCTCAGAAGAAACCAAACCTGCCAACACCTTGATCTTGGATTTCCAGCCTTAAGACAGAGAGAAAATAAATTGCTATTGTTGAAGCCACCCAGTCTGTGGCTTTCAGCATTTTCTTATGTCAGCCCTACCAAATTAATTCAGTCCCTTAACAACAGAGTGGCTTTTAACCAGTTTGCTAAAGTTTTCTCACCAGCTAAATGGGGTCAATATTACCACATAAGACTATAGAGTTTTTACATGAAACTGCCTACTGCAGTACCTAGCACAAAAGAAGTATGCCGTCCCTGACTGAGGAAACACAGAAACAGTGCAGTGGGCCTCCAAGTCAAAGGGACCTTCCCAACCTGCTGCTCTGCAGCCCATGGGGCTTGGTGCCCCTGGTCTGTCAGCAGTACCTGGCTCAGCCTTCTCCGCTGCTCCCTCATCTTGGTAAATGTCAGGAGTTAAGAAAATAAAGTGGATCTTCCTCACAGTGTGTTCTACAGTTCCCTTTCCTTGTACATAATCCTGGTTATTTGATCCTTGCCTTGGTTCACACCTGCAACCCAAGCTGATAGAGAGCTCCGTGTCACCTGAGCCCACAGATGCCTGCCTTTCCCACATTTCTCTGCTCAGGCTCCAGGGATCCCCTGAAGTTTGGCTCTGCTGGAGTCAGCAGGAGTTGCCATGGAGCCTTTCATTCTCATTCCCCCACATCACCAGAAGATGGCGCCTGCATTTCACAGTAAAACACTGACTAGCGATTTTTAAAAGTCTTAAATGGGTCAGTGCTCCTGTGGCCTTCCTGTGAACCACTGGGCATTCCAGGTCCCTGTCTCCAAGAGAGGGCTGTATCTGGGCCCTTCCTTCTCGGGCCACAACATTCTGCCGCCTGGGCAGCAGGACGTGACTGACCACTTCAGGAAAGTTTGTTTGTTTGTTTGTTTGTTTGTTTGTTTGTTTGTTTGTTTGTTTTTAATCCTCACCCAAAGATATGTCTGTTGATTTTAAATAGAGAGGAAGGCAGAGGGAGGAAGGGAGAGAGAGAGAGACATGGATGTGAGGGAGAAACATCTATCGGTTGCCTCCTGCACACTCCTCTGTTTGACCATGATGCAAACTATGAGGGCACTTCATAGCGCCCTCCTCTCTACCCCCGTGGTACTTTACATTCACTACTAATATAGGAAGTATCACACTAAATTGTCATCATTGTTTATGTCACTAAATTATGAGCTTCTTTGGCAAAACATTGTATCACATGGAGAGTCCTCAAATTATAAAATGTGAACAACCAAGTGGGCATTTGTCTGTTAAGAAAACATACATACTGCTGGAATGACTGTACATGAATATGGAAAAGGTAAACCTTGAACCTTATTAATACCACATTATGAAAATTAAGTTGAGATGTATCTTAGATCTAAACATAAAAGCTAAAACCACAAAGTTTTTAGAAGAAAAAGGGAAAATACCTTTGTGACTTGAGTGTAGGCAGAATTTTCTTAAGCTAGTCACAGAAACCATAAAAAAAAATTGGCAAGTTAGATTTCATCAAAATTAAGGAATTCAGCTCACCAAAATATGCCAATGAGAAAATTAATAGGCAAGCTTAGGCAGGGGTATAATATCAAAAATTATATCTGACAAACAACTAGTATCCAGAATATATAAGTAACCGCTTAATAACCAAAAGAAAGAGTAAAAGCATTGAACAGATGCTTCCCAAAGAAGACACACGAACGGCCAACAAGTCCAGGACAGACGGCTCAGCGCCCGTGGTCATCGGAAATTGCACAGTAAAACACCGGGAGGTATTTTCCCTCACTCACTGACAGGGCAAAAATTAAAAAGACTGAGAGCACCAAATTTTGGAGAAGATGCAAAGCAGCCAGACCTCCCGTACTTTGTTGATGACAATGTACAGTAGACTGACGTCTTGGGGAAACGATTTGGAAATTTCTTATAAAACTAAGTGTAAACCTAGCATGTAATAGACCAATTTCACTCCTTGTTATTTACCCAAGAGAAACATGAATAAATGTCCACTAAAAGACTTTTTAAGAATGCCCATAGCAGTTTTATTCATAATACTAAAAAACTGGAAATAGCCTGTTTACCCATCACCAGGAAAATGGATAAACATGCTACAGTATATTCATACAATGGAATACTATGCAGTTATTTTAACAAAAGAACAAAGTGCAGATGCAGGCCACAACATGGGTGAATTTCAAACTCATTCGCTGAAAGAAAGAACCTCATACCTAAGAATACATATTGCATGGCAATGCAATTGTTCATATAATATGAAGTTCTGGAACAGGCAAATTTAATCTGTGGTAGAAAAAAAATCAATGTAACTGTGGCCTCTGAGAGGATGGGGGCAGGGATTGAAGGGGAAGGTGCATGCAGGAACTTTCTAGGGTGCTGATAAGGTTCTATACCTTGATATGGGTATGGGTCATGTGTATACATTTGTCAAAACTCAACTGATGCTTCAGATGCTTCAGATTTGTGCACTTTAGTGGATATAGGCATTATGCCAAAAGAAAACTTGAAAACAAATACAGAACCCTAGTTAATGGTATGCATACTGAGGTGTTTGGGGGATGTGTATAGATGTTTGCAGTAGGAATTTGTCAAAAATATAGGATGGATTGATGGAAGGATAGAATGACAGATTGACAGATATGATGAGTAAATACATATAGTAAGACGTTACTGGTGAAACCTAGATGGCAGATACACTTACTGTAAATTTCTTTTAGTATTGCGATGTTCTTGAAATTTTTTACAATAAAAAATAAAGAACCTATTAATCATTAGGCCTTTGATACTAGTTTTTAAGATCCTGTTCACATGCATCTCTTTGGGGCTTGAGGCAAATAATCTCCTCTGCGAACACAGCAACCCTGAAAGTACCATCCTCTGCTGGGGTAGACAGCACTTTGTCCTGAAAAGACATAGGAAGCCTATGAGGACAAACTTCTGAGTGCTCATGCTTTTATTGGCATACTTTTGTTACATTGAGGGAAATGTTTTATATCTATTTCTGGCTAACTTCCACTCTCTGTTCTCTGTCCCCCAACACTCCTCTATGTAGGAATCTTCCTGCCATCCTGGACTGGGTAAAAGCTCAGAAGCCTGGGGCCACGGGTGTCAACATCATCACGTCTGACTTCGTGGACCTGGTGGACTTTGCAACAACTGTCATTGAATTGAACGACCTCCTACAGGAGGATAGGGCTTTCGCTAAATGCTGATTTAACCTTTGATTTATCTTAATGTTGAATTTGTTGATCCAGGCTGGAGGTCTCAAGGGTTTTCTGTTAGGATGGCCCCTGGGCAGTGATGGCAAAGTGAGTAAGAGGAGGAGGGAGGAGGAGAGTATTTTGGCCCCTCCTCACACAGCCATTTGGACAAAATTACAGTCCGTTTAATTGCATTTTTCCCAATGAGGCTTTTGAAAAACTTAAGTCCATGGGAAGAAAGCGTGTTTCACGAGCTCAAGGCCAGGATCTCCTTGATGGGTTATGATGTTGTACATAATGTGGAAATGGAGTCTCCAAGAACCATCAGGGCATTGAATGTCTGTGCCCTACTAGGCCTAGTTCCCTATTGTCTTCCAGGGTGTTCTGTTTGAGTCAGGGAGGAAACTGAACAAGAAAAACATTCCTGGTCAAAAGAGTGTCTCCTTGTGGGTGTAGACTGCCGTGTGGGCAGCTCTAACATCAAGCTTGGCCTTTGAGGGTAGAAAGGGCCAGGCACCAGTTCTCTCTAGACACGTTGAAGGTCACCGCTTCTTTCTTCAGAGAGACATTTATCACCGAGGTATTTCAGCCACAAGTTGTTCTTGCATAGTTTGTGCTTGGCAACTGGTCAACTCATTCTTCAGATAAATACTGCATAGCATCCTCAGTGTCAGAAATGTGTTTCCCGGTTTTAAAGCATTGATTCCTTTCTCTTTTCTTGGCCCTTTCTTAAAAATGAAAGGAGCAAGGATGAGAGATCTTTTCAGCGTGGGGCCCAACAACAGAGAGACATGCATGTTTGTTGCACGCCAGATTTTGTTATTTATTTAATTCTGTAGCTTTTCCCAAAATGGCTGCCAGGTAAGTACCTGCGTCATTTTGGCAAAGTCTTCTTTGGAGTGCAATCCTCAAGCTAGATCTTGGAATTGCATTTCTTTGTTGTCTGCCTTGGACTCCAGTCTGCTTAGCAGGGCCGAACACCTAAGGGGTCTGTGACCCGTGAACACAGACACAAGAGGTGTGGGAAAGTGCAATGGGTGTAAGGAGGGTGCTCCAAGGGGCTGTGGAGCTGTTCTGTAACTTCTTGAAAACAAGACTACCTCGGGGACAGTTAGGGTGACTTGTGTGTCATCAAGCAAGAAATACCCAGTGTTGGAACATTTCTAGTCCATGTCCTGATTGTGCTACTTTCTGCAGGTTGTTTAAAGCTTACTAATCCACTGCATGAGGGCTTTGAAACTCGGGAGGGGATTTTTTTTTTATTGATAAGAGGTGCTTCTCTATAAAGAGCCCTCTTGTTTTTTATTTATTTATTAATTTATTTGTAGATTAAGTATCTTCAGTGCTTCTTACCTCAAGAGCACTCATAAAGGAGCTTCCTGAACTTTCTTACCCAGGCCCAATGTGGCTATGGTCTTCAGCCCTTAATAGGACCATGCCTCTCAGGACTGTGAGTGACCTGTGACTCCCCTGTGGATGTCCCACTCCCTCAGTCAGGAGGGCGGGCAGTGTTCTTGTGTGAGTGTGGTCCAGATCTGAGAAGCCACTCCCAAGCCATGCCCTGGGGCAGAGGATGAACTGGGTCAAGAAAAACTCTCAATTCTTGAGGCTTCCAAAAGAGGATCCTCCAAAAGAGGATCGAAAAGGAAGCAGCTAGAAACAAAACTGGGCATGGGAATATGTGTTCTTCAGTGCTCCTAAGAACTGTCCAAGAATCCATAAGCAGGACTTCACTTCTGGATTCATAAGGAGGAAAGGTAAACATGGCATCCTGGGTGGATGTGTGTCTAAAGATCGCTGGACCTCATCCCAGCAGTTCCCCATTTCTATTTTTTGATGCTCATTGCTGGGGGGTGTGCTAGAGGAGCTGGTAAAAGCACTTGCACAGCCCCAACTATTGGTCTTCCAGCCTTTACTCTCTGTGAAGTAATTTAAGCCCTGCCCTTTAGCTTCCGCAGCTTGAGGAGGTCACAACACAAATGCTTCTGGGAAAATTTGGTATAACTTTTCCTTTTCTTGCATTTGAACCCCTCTTCAAAGAGGTTTCTGGGATTTTATTGTCAAGTTCTTTAGGGCCTTCTATGGAAAGGAGTAAGGAAGTGAGTGCCCTCACTTCTCAATTTTCCTTCAATTCTGATATTAAACTCCAGTGACAAGCTCTGAAATCCCTGGCCTACCCTCAGGGTTTTATTTGTTATTATTGCTTTATTTTGGCCTTGTTTTTAATTCATAGTCAATTACTAGGGACTAGACCACTTCCCTTCTTTAACCCTATGTTACTTGGCAAAGAGATAAGGAGGCAAGAGGAGAATTCTTCTCTGTTTTATTTGAGCCTCAGCTTTGTCCAGGTGCTTGGTGCTATGAGGCCAGGTGTGTGACAGGTATCTACGCAGGATACCAGTGACACTCAAGGGCTGCTGACTGTTCAGTGAAATGTTTACTTGATTTTTTCCCTTTAGTTTTAGAATATATAGTTGCACTTGGGTTGTACCATTTAAGTGGACCTCAGTGTCTGCATGATAAAAGTCATTAAACACAACACAAAAAGCACAGACAGTGGTACCAAGGTCACTTGCACGAAGTCCTGCTGTGTGTGGTGAGTGCAGGCGCTAGCTCCTTCCTGCCGCTTTGGGTGGCCAGCCTGGCTTGCATTGTGAAATTCTGCGCAGGAGTTCTGGGAGATAGGAGGAGGGTTATGCACAGTTCACCCTGATAAACACCCTTGAATTAGCAAGACTTCAGCCCCCAAAAGAGTTACTCAACATATTATAAGGGATGTGTGTATTCTGCCTCTTGACATAAGGCCAAGCAGAGAGACTCAGTGACGGGATGGAGGGAAATAGGCTGTGGTTCTGTGACTCACTCCACAACTGCCAGCAATGAAAGTGGTGACCCAGCCATAGCGCTGATTCTCAAAATTTCTGGGAACCTTTCAGATCAAACTGTTATCATATTTGCTCAAAATTAACTTCAAGATCAGCTGAAAAGCTACTTGATTGATTCAAAAGAAGATGATAGTATTCAGGGCCATAGTTACTCAGAAAAGTGGACTGAGTTTCTTATGCACTCCCATGTTTCCATGGCATTGTGGCAAAGGGGACCATTACAGGTTTCAGTTAGATTAAAGCAGTGTTGAAAGGCTTGAACTTGGAGCCTATTAGGGGTACCACTGCAGTTCCATGGGTACAGAAGATATTCTTAGGAATGGACAGAGAAGTCAAGACAGAATGGGTAAAATGATAAATTATTGAGGATTAAAATTTTACATTAATGGCAGGTCTAAAAGGGTCATGCCAAAAAATATTATATATCTGCTGTTTCAGACTCTCTAGTAATTATATTTAATTACTTTCCTTAGTCCTGAGTCCAGAACCCTGCATTTTTGAGAATCACTGTCACAGTTTAAAAGCAGGATTTTATATAAACTTCAAGAAAAGCACAAGATCTGGGCCCAGGTAACAATCAATCTTCAGAATCCTAGTTATTCTTTTATGAGTTCATATTCACATCACAAAGTTTAAGTTTCTGTTCAAGAGTAATGTAGTGGAGCATTCTGGAATTAAATGCAGCTTTGTGGTGAGTCAGGATTTTCTGTTTCTGTTCTTTGGAATCTTACCATAAGAAAATACTCCCCATCGAGCCATTATTGCAGCCCAGCCAGAAGGTTTGGTGCAAAGCACACAGCAGAGACACTGAAGGGCTGAAGACTGAAATGAAACCACCTGTTTTCCTGGGAAGCAAAAGGGCTGCACAAATCCAGACCATCTGACAGAATCTGTTCACAGTGCAGAGGAAGTTCTGTGATGTCCTTTATTGGCTGACTGTGGATGTTTACCCTGAGGTTCTGCAAAAAAACGGAACTGGCTAACAAATGAGGCACAGCCATGGGACCCTCTCCCCTGGCTGGGCAACGGAGTGATCCTGGGCTAGATCTGCCTTGGTTCTTTCATCTGGAATAAAGATGCCATCTGCTACTTTAGTGCTGTTTTGCAAACCTTTGTCAAGTAGCTCCCCAAAATATCAGGCCCCCAATGGTAAGGTTAAATGCCATATATTAATGAGGTTGTACAGTTGTGTTTCTTCCTCATGTGGCATGTGGGGAGAAATGCTACTTAGCTTCATTTCACAAAGGCGCCCCTGTTAGGCGTTGTCAGTTCAATCCCATGGTTGAGGCAATTCATCAGTAGTCTAGAGGTATTCTCCATCTCGTTCCTTCTCATCTCCTTCAGAGGATACCGCTTTCTCCTCTTGTCTTCTGGCCATCCTCTGTCACCTGCTGAGGACTATTAATTACAGGATGTTGACAGAACTTACAGTAAAAGGCACATACAGTCAATGATGGCCTAACACGCTCTTATCAGAGTGTTTTTTGCTCCTTACTCTCCTCAAATGCATGATTCAGCACCCCTCCCCACTTCCACCCAACCACTAGAACTATACCTGATTGGAGCCCAGAACTTGCGGCCAGTACTTCATTCAGATATCAGGGGCTTGGCACAACCTTTGAGCCCAACCAGAAGCACAGCACTTTGAAAAGTCAAATAGGCCTTCGGTAGCTTTGGACATTTGCAGTTTTACATTTGTTATTAGTTTATAGCGCTAATAACAGTCATGAATCTATAATATCAACATGATAAATCTTAGTCATATTCTAGAGACAGTGGTACTTTGCTGCTATTATACTTACTAATTTATACCCCAGTTAATAAGTATTACATATAGATTGTATATGCATCATTGTATTGTGTGTGCATAAATATAGTGTACATGCCAACTGTAATACTTCACTGATTAGCATTTTAAAATACAATAGTCCCCTCTTATCTGCAGAGGATATGTTGCAAGATCCCCAGTGGATGCCTCAAACTGTGGATAGTGATGATAATGGACCTATATATGCTATGTTTTTTCCTGTACGCACATACCTTTTCACTTAAAGAAAGCACTTTATGGCTTCTCTTTGGCGTATCTGAATTGCCAGCATGACTACTCTTGCACTTTAGGGCGGTTATTTAGTAAAATAAGGGTGACCCGAACACAAGCACTGCAGTACTGCGATAGTCAATCTGAGAACCTGGAAAGCTACCAAGTGAGTTGAGGGCAGGCACTGTGCATGCAGCTCGGAGCCCCTGGGCAAAGGGATGAGTCATCCTGGGGGGGGATGGAGCAGCTCGGCTCAAGATTCATCATGCTACTCAGAGCTGCGCAATTTTAAACTTATGAATTGTTTATTTCTGGAATCTGACTTTTTTTCCGACTATTGTTGACCATGGATGAGTGAAACCATGGAAAGCAAAACCTTGGATGAGGTTGGACTACTGCACACAGATTGTCATATTGAAAATACGTCTTGGTAAATTCAGAGGGTGTGTGAATCTGAAAATGCCCTATTAGATATTATATTTTGTCCTCTTTGCTTGTTTTATATTACAGTGCATGCTGTTTGCTAAATTAAGTAAAATAATAGTAAATTATACCAATTTTAAGGTTAGAATTAAATTTTTACATATATGCTGCTTGATACGCTGAAATATATTTGGTGGCATAATTATTCATATACATTTCACTTGGCTTCCTTCCTCTAGGAAATAATGACTCAAATATATCTCTCTACTTCTGTCTTGTGACCTGAATCATACTGCTTAATTTAAACTGAAGCATAATAAAGCCAGATTACCTCATTTTAACTGTGAAAAAATTCAATAGATATGATGATATGATGTCTTTTCTTGTATTTGATTTGAACTACCTAAATAAGCTTAAATCTAATAATAAATATGAAACTTGAGCAGATACTTCTCCTTTGTTTGTCTGCACATTTTATTATCGGCCATATAAATACTCAAGAGTAACTATTCGTCTTAGTAGTAGGGGTGGGAACTTTGTGCCCTCCCCCTCCAAATAGCACCCAGCACAAGCCCTTCCACACAGCTGGCAGTGGTTAGCAGTAAAGGGTTTAGCAAACATTAATTACAGTAATGTAAGACAAAGCAGATGAATTCAGACAGTGAAAGAGAAAGTTGCAAAATCACTGGACCAGGTATGCACTGCTCAGAGAGTGGGACTCTCGCTACAGGTGATACGCATGGTAGTGTGGGGGCGGAAGATGGCCAAATCCTCGAATAACGTTAATATCATTAACCACTCATTCTGATTATACAAAAGGCAGTCTTCGCTCACTGATGAAACCTCTCTAGCCCTTGTTTATCTAGCAGATACAGAAAAGATAATAGTATCCAGCTAACATTTATTATCACTTTGTTTGTATTGTATTTTTCCCTAACGGGACTTTCTTCACGATTCCTGCGGCAGTCCACACTCGGATCACCCTCTCCGGACAGTGTCCTGAGCTGCAGCTTAAACAGGACGGCAGGAGAAAGCTGTGGAGTCACTCAGTCGCACAGACCGCTTGCCGGATTCATGTGGAATGCAGAGAGCAAACCCCCATTTCTTCAACTTGGAAAGCGATTGCTTTCCTGTGAATCCCCGCAGTGAAGATGCCTGAATATCATAGATTTTTGTGTGGTTTTTTTTCCAAAGGAATTCTTCTTACTCAGCAGTATGCTTCTCTGTTTACACCTCTGCAAATCTGCTCACTATGACCAGAGGAGCATTATTATTTTTAAGACTTAAAAACCTTCCCTCTCAGAGAGGATGGGAGGGTACAGGGAGGGACGGTGGCCAAGGCCCATGTGCCTTAGGCCTCACCCAGGATGGCCTGGACAAGCACCAGTAAAACCAAAGTGCTGGTCAGACCAGGGTGTTTGCACAGCTGGGCAGTGTTTTGGGACAGCATGGGTGGGGAAGGGGAACACAAGTGTCAGCCTCTGTCTGGTAGCATCACGTGATTTCGAGAAGCCTTAGGCAAGCAGATGGCTTTAATCTGAAGGGTCCTAGTGTCCAAAGCACAGGCTTTATTTCATGGAGAAAAGCTCTAAGGAGTAGAGAGAGCTCTTGTTGCAAAAGAAGGCCACCGAAAGCTATTCTTTGTTGAACCTGAGAACTTCTCTGCTTTTTGGCCTAAAGACTTTCCTGCCCTGCCCCTCACTGGGTATTAGCCCAATCTGGGCTCAGGAAGTCTCATCTGCAGGCCTCCATGAATTACAAGGAGATCTGGAAGAAAATGTTGGCTTGCCTTTGTCCAAGGCTACTCTCACCAACACACTTGTGGGCATAGAACTAATTTGCTGCACATCATAGGGGTTCGTGGACTACTTCAAGAGGCCAGAATGCCCTGAAATGACACATGAAATTTTAGATATATATGCGTGCACTTTTTTTCTGGTAGAGGCTCCATGACTTTCATCAGATTCTTAGAGAAATCTATGATCGTAAAAAGTTGTAATCCACTGCTTTTCAAGGGCCGTTGAGAACAATCATGTACATGTTTGTAAGTGAGCAGAGGGCTAATTAGCACTAGAAAGCAGCAGTTCTTCCTATTAAAAAATAACTAAATTAAGACATTTATTTATTGACCACAGATGTTCTTATATAAGAGGCAAGGTTGGATAGAATAAAATAAAAAGGAACTACCTAAGCCAAGTCCAGAGGGTCCTAAGGGATCATGAGGAAGGCTCAAGCAGGGGAGGGTGGTGGCAGAGCCTGAGAAACCAGGCACCTGGCACATGGGGACAGACGGCTGGGCCCTACACACAGATCCGAGCACATGCCTCAGAGGAAGTGGGTGCACCGCACCTTCTTACAGAAGGGCAACTAGGAGAGTGAAGGGTCCAGAAGTTACATCACATGAGGAACTGGGGAGATTGCGCTTGGAACAGAAAGAGAGCAAAGTGACTGGAATATCTTCAAATGTTTTCAAATTGTGACATGACTGAGGTTTTATTTAGATTCTTACGATTTTAGATGAGGAAGGGGCCAAAATACTTTTGTCCAGGCCCTAATGTCACAGGAGAGAAAACTGAAAGCCAGACTACTGGCCTAATGCAGGGCTGGGACTAGAGTTTGGGCTCTGAGTCCCTTCCCAGTGTCCTTTTCCATCATTTCCAGCCGCCTGAGTGCCCGATGGGCAGGGGAGAGCTGGAACCCACGAGCTGCCATTATAAGAAGGGAGAGCTTGGCTGAATAAAGAGTGTTCCTAGGTAAAATAGATGTGAGAGAGTGAGCTCACCACAAAGACTTTCTGCAAGTGGGTGTATCAGTTTGCTACTGCAGATACAAAAAATTATCACAAATTCTGTGGCTTACAATAACACAAATGTATTACCTTTCACTTAGCAGTCAGCAGTCTAAACTGGGCCTGCAGAGCTGGGTTTCTTCTGGAACCTCTAGAGAAAGATCCATTTCCATCCTTTGCAGCTTCCAGAAGCCACCTTCCCTGGCTCACAGCCCTTTCCTCCATCTTCAAAGCCAGCAGCGTAGCATCTCCCATCTCCCTCTGACTCGGCTTCTCTCATCACATCTTCTTTGATCCTAATCTCTTAAGAGGATGTCTAGGATCCATTGGGCACTCCTGAACAGTCCAGGGTAGTCTCCCATCTCAAAATCTTTCACTTCACATCTGCAAAGTCTCTTTTACCATGTAAGGTAATATATTCTCATGTTCTGAGGATTAGGACATGGACATCTTTGGGGACTTTTATTCAGCCTACCACAGAGTAAATCATGGAAAAAGCATCCATCCTGGTACTGATTTTTTAGCAGACTTGAGTTCAAATCATGGCTTTGGTACTGACTTATGAGCAGACTTGAGTTTGAATCCTGGCTTTAGCACCTAGTTACATGACCATTATCCATTTGAGCCTCTGCTCCCTCATCCATAAAATGGTTGTTATTATGAAGATTTGTGGTAATACAGATAAAATGCCTGGCATATATAATGCACTCACAAAAAATGGCAGCCATATTTGTTCAAGGAACTTCCAGGTGATTCTCACCAGACAGGAATCCAACAGAAGAAACCTTGTTACAAAATGTGAGGTTTGATAAAGTGACCTCCAAATTCCCTTCCAAGATCGCTAAAATTGAAAGGAATGAAATAAAAGGGAATTTATTCCTGTATACACTTACCTACATCAGAGACCCAACTGCAAGGAAATTTCTTTTCTGGATAGTCAGTAGCTAAGAGACCCTGCTCTTTGCCTCCCTCGCTTCTGCTCTCTATTTTTGTCACCAAGCTCTCTGGTGAGATTTGAGCAGGACTGAGAGCCTGGCCTGGTGTGCAATGATTGGCCAGACCAGGCAGCTGAGACCAGCGCAGGCTCCCTCCTTCACATCTGTCAACATACCTGGCTGCAAGCAAGTCATTGCCCGTGACCACTGTCTGCAGGAGCCAGAGGAAGCAGGAAAGAAAACGGAGGAGAACACCTCAATTCTGTGGAAAATTTTGGAGAAAACTAGAAGCCCAATGTAGATGCTTCTTCCCAATGTCCCAAACTCTTCAGTAAGGGCTGGAATAACCATGGGGTATCACTACTAAGTCAAGAAGGAAGCTGAGAAAAGACTTTCAACTGAATTCAGCAATCAAGGTAGGTGATCTGCCTGGTCACAGGCCCTTCCCCCAAGATCACAAAACAAGCATTTTTCCCAGCCTTGTAGCCAGAGTGGCCAATGATGGCCTACCAAAGGAATGTGTTAGATGCAGCTGTGTCGGGAGAATTCGATCATTTGTCCAACAGCATGTCCTGAAAGTGGGCTCTATTTTTCTTCCATGTCTCATCTCTGAAAATTGTTGTTCTACAAAATCGTTCAAACGTTTGGAAACTATTTTATCTTTCATTACAAAAACTTATATTTGTGATTTATTTAAATTTTTCTGTGATCTGGGTTCTACAGAACGTGGCTTTGTTCCAGAATTTTGCTTGTATGAATTCTTTCCTCTCTCAAGATATACCAGAGAGGACAGTTTACATATATTTCTGAAGGACACTCGGTTCCCGCAGAGGGCTGTCAGCCTAAAATGATAGGATCTCTCAGGCAAGCCTATACATTTTTCTGCTTTGGAACCTAGGGAGTTAAATGTCTTGAAACTGCTGGAGCAGAATCAAGCCTGTTTACCTAAGCTTATCAGCCTGGGAGGCAGGTCAATCATTTACTGACGCAGGGTTGTCTCCTCCCTTTGATGCAGGACCACTGACTAAAGCCCTTGCCTGACTGGGTCTCTCTGTAGAATAGACACAAGGCAACACAGCAGACACCTTCTCTAACGCTCTAGCCATTCTTCTTTTCTGAGCAGGGTAAAGTTTTATCTGAGGTGGAGTGAATGCCACAGGAATCCTCCCATCTCCACAACAAACAACTGGGTACCTAATATCACCTGGGACATAAGAGCCTGTGACTTTGGAGGAGCTTTTACTACCAGTGGAGGTCTATAAAAAGCAATCAACTAACTATAGGAAAAGCTATTAAGTGATTTTGGAGGAGGAAAAGATTATTAAGTAATCATAAAAAAAAAACATGGGTTTTTCCTTCCAGCCTACACATTCTAGAAATGTATTATTTTTAATGAACATTATCCACTCTACTTAAGGTCTAAATATAACTCCTCTAGAAATGTTGTCATATTGCCACCACATACACTTGTCAGGTCTATGCAATTGTTTCTGGCTTTTTTAATTATTAGAAACCTGGTGATAGGGAAGTCCTATTTTTCTGAACTCTCTTTAGGGAAGGGCTTGGCCCATGTATTGGATAGGGTAATGATTGGCACTAATTCTGTCAATCATTTATAAAACTGAAGTGAATCCCCTTTGGTGAGGTTTGTGGCTGGAATTTTTATGTGGCTCAGGCAGTTAACTAGAGGCAGAGTTGAGGCCACCGCACAATGTGA